TATATATTAATAATTATTATAAATTATTATCAAAATTTCTTTACTGTAAACATTAATTTCACTACAATTTCATTGTCAACGTACATTTTTTCATCCAAAATTAGTTTCTGGAACCAATCATCCTTTGTAAAATTCTTTATATTTTGTAACATTCTTTATATTCCTTCTATCTACTCATTTTACAAGATACACGAAGAAGAACGTTTAGTATGCCAGTAGTTAATATAATAACATATTAAAGACAGAAAAAGAATCGCTAACTATTATCTTTTGCCTCGTTTTTTCTCCCTAATGTACTAAGCCCGCAAACGCTCATCGTAGCTGAAAACACGGATTAAAATCGCGGGGGCCTTCGAGAGTTTAAATACCAGTCGTCGAGGTGCAACGCGACGCGCAGAAAGAGATATTCTCACGGTTTTCATTTATTTGAAGTTAATCATAGAGCTCAACGGTGCGAGAATAAAATCGCGCGCGCTTTTCAACCCTCCGGTCTTTAAATCGAGCGTCATCGCAATTGCTGGAAGAGCTCGTGCCAAACAGTAGTTCGATATAAAGGGAGAATATCGCGAAATCTCGCATGTTTCCTCTTTCGCAGAGAATCCATACGTGATGCGTACTCCCGTAGACAGCCCGTAGCTTCAGCTTCATTTGGTAGTAATAAACGATAATTCGCGCAAATCGCGGAGAGTTTTTGATATTAATATCGATCTCCTTCCCGCCTCTGTACTCTCATCGAACGATAATCGTTTTATGCCTGTACGAAATCAATAGGCGCCGGGGAAAATTGGTAAATCTCCTCAACCGAGGTTTCCAACGCGAGATTTACAAGCTTCGAGCGGCTGTTAACAGATTTAATCCGCGCTTTCATCATGATATCGCTGAAAATTATGTTTCACGGGTACATGTATACATCCCGCTCAAAGATAGAAATGCGATACATAAAACGCCCATATGTCAAAATGGGTGATGCGATAAACACGATGTAACCGGAGAATTCAATATTCCCATATCCGTTTTCTCCCGTTTTTGATAAAATAACGCCGCGTAATGCGGCACGAAAAACGCCTAATTAATCACATTCGCGATGAAATTGTCGCGGTGCGCGACGCAATATCTGCCGTTCAAATTCGATTCCGCGTTTCCGCTGCATTTCGAAATGCACCGGTCCGGCCTGACCGGGACGGAATTCATTTCGCCATCACGGACACGTCCAAATCATATCCCCGGTTTCGTAATTTCCCGTATTTTCCCTTAAATGAGATATTAATCGCCGGAATACAGATCCGCAAAAGCTGCATCTCCTCTCTACTCGCTCGGCCCGAAGGATACTGAATAATATCTCGTTGAAAAAACTCCTGGGACACATCTGCGTGCACGTGCATATGTAATATACACGTGGCATGTACAAAACTACGTGTGGTTCTCGGCTAACAATTTAAACTGTGACGTGTCAGCATTATATTAGTGGAAACGTCTTCCGTTTCCGAGCAACTTCCAGCAATTCCTGCGAGTACTCGATTCTGACTCAACAAAAAAGACATGAAAGAGAAGTAACATAAGAAATACTACTGTGGCTATGAAAACTAGAAATAAATTCAGCATCCGAGTGTCAACAATTTTTGTATTTTATACATAAAAAAAATGCATGTTAATAAGATTTTACTTAATATTAATTATTATAATTTTTACGCGGCAATCGTTAAATTATTATATTGCTCATTAGAGAGAGAGAGAGAGAGAGAGAGAGAGAGAGAAAGTTTAAAAATCAAGGCACAAGATTTGTTGCAATACGTGCAAATCGGACCAAATCCGGTAACGAGTAATTACCTCGACTATAAACCCAATTACGAGAGACCGTTTAATTACACGTCGCTCTTTTCTCTCTCTCTCTCTCTCTCTCTCTCTCTCTCTCTCTCTCTCTCTTTCTCTCTCTCCACGTTTATTAAGCCAAACTAAACCCGCGTATTGAAGGTACTCTGACAGAAAGATTCCCTTTGGTCCGTCTTAATAACAACATACTAACTTTAGGGACTATATAATTACCTCTATATACGTATTTACTGTATACGCCAAGCGCTTCTTCATTAAGAAAATCCACGAGCATTTTGCTCTTTAACGAGCTATCTGCCGAGACAATCCAATATTCAAGTATCATCTCACTGCATTTATATTTTTTGATAAGCAGCCTGATATAACGGAAGTTATATTTGAGGAAAACGTCGAGCTATTTGCAGATTGTCGTAATACCGTTAAATTCATAACGTAAAATTATACTCAAAATATCAATTAAATTAAAATAATTTAATAATTATTAACTTTGAGTTATTTTTAATCATTCCTATAAGTCGCGACTTATATACGACATGTAATTAATTTAACTAAAGCAATAAAGTTATAAACAACTGAACTCAAGAAATGTATTAAACTGTATTGACTCAAATTTAGTTTACTATTAACTAAGAGCATACGATAATATGGATGCTGTTTACTTTGAAACTAACAATAGAAATAAATTAATTTACATTTTGACATATACAGAAGTTAATAATAACAAAATGTTAATTAACTTTTCAGTTACCGTTGCTCCTTTGATATCTAATAGTTATACCTGCTTAGCATCATAAATTGATTTTTCTAGAATATTGATCCAGAAATTATATCGATTTCATATCTTATCCGTTTCAGCCTACACAACTTTTTCGATCTACACTGAAAAAAATACTAAATTTTAATAAATATTTGTTTAAATATCTATTAAGTTCTTTATTTGAATATAGTAAATATTTACTAAATGTGTATTTGTTTTACAAAAACTATTCATTTGATTCAATTATCATTTTTCTGTTAAGTAAATGTTTACTTAATACTATTCAAAGAAAGATTAAAATTTAAAATTCAGTAAATTTTTTTCAGCGTATGCAACATACGAATGCATTGGTATTGTATATTCGTGATTCTACCCTTTTTACGTATCTTCTGTGTACATCTAATATATTCTCTAATATATTTAATAAAGAGTTAGCTAATAAATATACCCTTGTTAAAAATTACCTACTTCTTTCCTCGTGAGACAATATAAAATACTTTCTGTTTTCTTGGAACAGACCTGAGTGTGTTCTGTGTGCCTGCGAGACGAACATCCATCCCATGATTAAGTGGGGCCGACCTTGGCCCTTTGACGCCGGAAATTGCGTCCATGCCGTCGAAATGCATATCGACGATCGATGTGTCGCAGCCGCAGCGAGCCGCGCGCCAGGAAAAGCGTTTCCGGCGCAGGGTTTGCGGCGCATCGGCGCGTTTATCTTCCGGAAGTACCTCTAGTTGATCTTCGGCGGGTAAATCTTCACACGTAGATCTTCGCGCGTATTTTCCCGATCTCGATCCGCTGACGGATCAACCATATTTTCCCGTTTTCGATCGACTCTATTCTATGTGCCATTCGGTTTCTTCTTGAGCAAAGTACAGTTCGCGAGGTGTGGAAAAATAGATTTCAACCGCTCCGCGAGCGGCGAATACCGTAGAAAAATAGAAGCTATTCGATTCTCTCTTATCCTTCGCCTTTTTCTTTCAAATGCGAAACACTAAAGTGACGGCTGCGCCGTCTCTTTCCTTCTCCCTTCGAGATTCCCGCAAATCGACGTCCGCAAATCGATTAGGAATTGAAAGTACGAGTTCGTGACGCAAACAACGTCGCGATAACGTGGAAATGCTCGGAAAAAGCTCTATGTGGGACACCCGCGCCGATAAAGGACGCGCCGCTGCACTCGGGCATGCGTTTTCCCGACTACAATGCAATCGGAGTGCGGTCGCGAGACGAAGGGCGGGTAGGGCGGGTTGGGCACGCTCGCTTTGAACACGCCGTGGATCTTCGAATGAACCCCCGACGTTCCTTTCGCGAAAGCGAACGTCGAACTACTTGTACCCGTCTCGCAAACATCACGACGTCGCGCTCGCTCGCTCGCTCGCAGCCGGAATATCCTTTGACCTCGCGGAGAACGTCTCGACAAACATATCTTGCCGGAGAGCTCCAAAATATATCTCCTCCCAAATGACCCGAGAGACCGAGTGACGCTGCGAATAACAGAAACACTTGGAGACGTCTCTTACCCGAGTAACCGCTCTCGAGAAAGTGATGGGAGCTGGAAAACTTTGGAGAACTAAGCTCACCCGGGAGTATACCCGGCTCTCATCTAGAGAGACGAACCATCGCAAAGAGTCACTCGACTCGTGCCGTCAAATATTCGACGAATTCACTCCTCGAATTAGCCCAGAATCTCCCGGTGTGATTTTCCCGGCTTTTTTATGCTTGGATAACTCGCCGGTTATTAGAGGAATCATAGTGTAATAAGATAAGTGTGACATCGCGCATAATGATGATAGCGATATCAAAGCTGGGAACAATCAAATTTAAGTTTGCTGCACAGACTTTTGCATAACGCTGCATAATGCATAAGGTGCAAGAAAATTGATCAAACTTCTTCATTTCATACTCTAATTAGTTGATTCTCTTATAGACTTTTTACAATAAGCCATTACCTAAACTAAGTCTGAGGCCGTAAGAAATTGGCGAATCATAGTCTCGATTATTCTTCTCATTCAACTGTGTGACTGGTCAGTTTTTTTACGACTTAAAACTTTGAGGCTCAAGGGCGAGAGCACAGAGTCTTGCATACGAGATAAAGCTAATCAAGGGGTCCTTCATTTCCCTTCCTTTCATGAAATAAAAGATTCTGATTGGTTGATTTTCTTATACATACTTTATGCAGTATGCGTGATACAAAAGTTTGTGCTTCGGCCTTAAATAACTTGTTGTAGAATGTGTGTTACGCTTTATGTTTACGCGTTATGCAAAAGTTTGCTACAGCCTTTAGGCCCGAATGCACTTTCTTGCGTGTAATAGCGATGGCGTGCTGGAACAGCTAATCAAATAACGGGAATATTACACCTGTCTTATCACACTTTGGCCCAGTTTTTCATTTTCTGGTCGACTTATGGTCAACTTACGGTTAGCCACCACACTTGCGGTCAGCTAGCGGCCACTTAACTTTATCCAATGGGCTTCATTTACATTATAATGATGCCACGGATGAAACTCGTTGTAAAAAAAAAAAACATCAAGTTAAGCTCAACCACAAGTTTAGCAGATAATGAAAAATTGAACCTCTGTTTCCTCTTTCACTGTTATTTCGCGCGAAAAATCCTCTCGTACGTCCGATCTCATTTCTTGCCGCGTGTCAAAAAGGGAGATTGCGAAAGGCCGGGCGTTTACCCTCCGCCACCCCCCCCCCCCCCGCCAGTGATTGAATGGATGCGTTGTTTGGCAGCGAGCTGCCGACGACCTGAATCGGTGCGCGAAGTTGGAAGCCGCGCGCAACCACGATCACGACGACTACGACAGCGACGGCATTATGGTCGTGCCAAGAAGGATCACGGAGGGGATTAAACGCGGGCGTATCCACGCGCCCGCGCCGGGAAAACAAAGCGGTCCGGGACGGCTCTTTGTCGTACCCGGGAATAAAAAGAGGAATGAACGTACCGCAATGGAGAAGTTGAGTGGGAAGGTTATCTGCGATTAGCGCGCCTCGCGATAAACGCACGATTAAATTTGCATAATAAGTGGCGGATTATTTCTCGACGGCGCTACGCTAGATTAAAAATTAAGCTCGACGTAGAGTCGCTCTAGGCGTACATGCGTGTATCTCGTGTGTGTGTGTGTGTGTGTGTGCTGCAAAGTTTACGCGCCGCGTATAGTCGTCCGTCGTGGGAAAAATGTGGCTAGCGCTGAAATAGGAAACCGGAATTAGTCGGTTAGCATTCGTAACGGCCCGCCGCATCCGTAATTAACGCGCTACGAAATCGCGCGGCTATCTCTACGCGAGGGCACATCCGCGGAATTAATCGCGAGGGATCGATAGCAATATCTCCTGCATACCGATGAAAATTATGCTTCCCGCCAAAAGAGCCGACACGCTAATTGTCGTTGCTCGGATAGGAGGATATACGACGATGGAATTTATTATATGTATCAAGGAAAGGCTCGATATTTCGTCTGGTTTATCTTCTGATAGTTCTTCTTGCTTGAAAGTTACGTTCAAAGGTCAATTTTTCAGTTCTCCACGCAAAGTGAATTATTTGAAAATGTAATAAGTTTGAAACAGTTTTAAGTAGAAAATCTGCATATTTCTAAGCAATCCGAGTGGCACAATTTATCGGTGAAACATTGGTTAAGTATATATTGGGGATATATTGGGCCAATATTGTACCGATGAATTGTGCTACTAAAGAATATTCTTTCTTATTCATTTTCATACATTACAATACATTATTTTATAAACGTGTGGGTTAAGAAATTTTTGTAAATAAAGTTTCCCTTGGCACGGAAAACTGAAGAGTAAATTTTCTTTTTTTTTTTTCTATTATTACTTCGTAAATAATTTGTTATTATTGCGATAATATTATCGACTATTTCATTAATTTCATGTTGTTAAGTGAAAATTTTCTTAAGTGAAAAATAGCGAAATGGAAGGTTCCTAAGACACGTCTCTTTCAGGCGCAACGTATTTCATCAGAAATACCGATCACCCGCGGTGTGGATGCGGAAATAAAATTTATGTTTGAGATATTAAATTTTTCAGCGGTTGTGCCCTATCGCTATGTTAAATTCCATTTTATCAATCGTTCCGGCTCGGACGAGAAACGCGAGGTAAGGCAGCTTCGCGAGGCACGTTCCTCGAAAGTACGGCATATTTCATCGGGAATACCCATGCACCCTTTTACTGCAAGCCGGTCATAATACTCGCGCGAATGAATAGCGAAAATATGGAAATTCGAATTCAACCGTACGGTCCCGCCACGAATAAACTGCATTCTCGCACCTGGCCGCGAGCAGCTTCCGCGATGCACCGAGTTAACGCGAAATCTACACGCGTTACCGCGCATTTTTTTTGCTGACAAAGCCAAAAATGAAATTTTTGATACCCCATTAAATTTCTAATATGGTTTTGATGAAACGTCTCATCGAGAGCAGTTACGTTATTAATATTCAACGATTGTTTAGCCGACCTATAAAGATGTCTCGTCTGAGAAAAGTCGAAGTGATCTCTATTTTGACGTCGCGAAAAATAAGATGATAAGTCTTGATTATAAAATTAGATTGTTTATTTAACGTTAAAAATGAAAATAGAGTAATTTTAATTTTTTGTTGACTTTCGTATGCCCTTTAAACGCGGACGCGAATTG